GGGGGGTGGGGGTGGGGCTGCTGGGCGTGTTTCCTTTCATTTAAACAACACAAACAGATAAAATACATAGCACCACAGGGAAGAGGAAATAGCACCAGAGTTTTGATCATTGTGTTTTCCTTAAAAAAAAAGTGACATTACCTCCCATTGCATAGTCAGATAGAAGAGTATTTCAGGAAAGTACAGAAGCTGCGTATTAACTTAATGATACTGCCACCACACCAGGTGTTTTTGTTCAGAGGGCACACAAAGAGGAATGTTATACATTGGTTTGTTTCTGCAAATCAAGTGTCACGTAATATCAGAGCTTGTTTTCATCTTTTATTTTCCATTCCGTTCTTAAATTACAACAAGATGCGCTCCACAACAAGACAGGACTTCCCAATTTGGTGTTTACTTCTATTTTTGTTTTTTTCAATTTACAAGTTGTATTTCCTCACTATCAGTATTCCTACAGTTTGGATGTTATCCCTGTACCCACCATCTCTTACCTTATGATTTGTTAAAGTCACATGCACGTTTTGAAGCCAGAAGCAATAAACATTACCAGGAAAAATATACAGAATGTACTTACAAACATAAAAATTATTTTTAATATATTTATATATATATAAGATCCATTCCAAGTGAATGGGGGACAATTATGCACAAACAGAGCTCCTGTAGTGGATATGCAAACAACCCAACAAAAGACAAGTGGAAAAAGGCGATGGAGACGATGAGGGGAAGACATGAGATCTGAACCAAAGAGGAGAAAAAGAACCCAATCAGATGGAGTCCGGGGCAAAAACTGTGACGGCCTGGAGTGGCTGCAGCTCTCAGAAACGCCTTGGTTTTTTTTGGAGTGTAAATCAAGTGGGATGACATGGGGCTTTGGTTTGCGTGTTTGCGTGTGTGCGTGCGTCGGTGTGTGTTGCCTAGGAGGCAGGACGTGACATCCAGTTTCAAAACTTGCATGTGATGGAGAAGGCACACTGAGGTTATTTCGTCTTTCTTTACTCCTGAAGAATTTCACCGCATTCTCAACTTGATTTTCATTTTGATTCATTCTTGTTGTTTTATGGAAAAAAAGTTACTTTTTTTACAAATAGAAATGTCCTGTTCTTTTTAAATTTTTTATTTTTTTTCTGAGAAAACATATTTTTTTCTCCACTTGCTCAGTAAACAGTCTTAGCCGATGAAACAGACGGGGCCCACTTCGAAGCCAAACTTCTGGGTGGAACCGCCAAAGTCGTTGAACATGATGTCCACAAATGGCACCTGCTCCACCTTTGGTGTGTTGATCTCCAGTACCGTCTTTCCATAGCCCTTTTTCGCCTGAGGGGGGCCACACAAAGGACAAAGAAGGCGGTTAGCTTTTAGTCAACGTAGCCTCGCTGGTTTAGGTTCTTACTGACTTCTTTAGCACAACAACACCAACCAACAGCAGGCTTAAAGTCATTGGCCACTTCAATCGATATGCTAATATCTAACCACTCAGCTATTTACATGGACCCAACGCAAGGTTGCACTGTTAACGATACAGGGGTCTTTGTCTGAGTTTCATTCCTGCGGTGAAACATTACTCCATGTAGTACCAATGTCACTCACCTACACTAACACAGTGGTAAATTCATAATATAGGAAAAAAAAAAAACCCCAGACGAGCCTGACTGACACCTGGGAGCCATAATGAAGGAAAACATTTTTGGGAAAAGTTCCCCCCAAAAAAAAAAAAACAAAACAAATGAAAACGCATAAGCAGCATAATCCAATGTATGGCAAACAATTGTCGAATGTCACCAAAGCCACCACCAATGGTGTAACAGCTCTGCTCACTTTCTGTTCAAAAGACCAAAGACTTTGCTTCAAAACACATGGATTTGTTTCCTTTTGGTTTGAAATTAAAGGAATATTAAATTGACCTGTAGCATTTTTCTGCCTGACTGTGGTTTGGGTCGAGCTCCCACACACTTGCTTCAAAACACATGGATGTGTTTCCTTTTGGTTTGAAATTAAAGGAATATGAAATTGACCTGTAGCATTTTTCTGTCCTGACCCTGTGGTTTGGGTCGAGCTCCCACACACACACTGCACATCAGCCTATTACCCACAAAGGTTTATCACCGACTTTATATAACATTGGCCTTAAGTTCATTGGATTTTTATTGAAACCAAACCTGAAGAAATATTGACGTATTTCCACAACGTCCAAAAATTGAGAAAAGTGGCAGGTCAGGGCATCTCATGTCCCGGGGGTCAAAGGATAAAGCTTGTAATCACAGGAAGTTCTAATCGCGGCCCTGGAAGGACTGTGGTTTGCTGAGCAAGCACCAACACTGCAGCCCAGTCCTGTGTGAATCACTGGAGTGTTTCATAGATGGGTTCAGTTTCCCTTAGAGGATTATTGGAGTAAAAAAAAAACAATTAGGATGACTTAGACTGTGGCTTCGTTTGTTCTAGCAGAAGACTCCGTTTATAGGCATGAGAGAAAATGGTCAAAAATAAAAGATTAGACATTGTCTGGTCTATTTTGTCTCAATTCTATTAGTGCCTTTATTGTCTTGGTACAAACACCTCTTTGTTTGTCACTGTACACACTGCTACACACCAAGACCCATATGACACATAAGGCCCAACTTTACTGCACATTAGGGACATTTTTTGCATCTGATTTTAACATAAGAGCCCCAAGGCCAAACTTTACTGCACATTAGAGACATTTGCATCTGATTTTAACATAAGAGCCCTGCTCATCATGGGATTCAAACTGGCAACCCACACAAGCTGATCACAAGCCTGTCTAACGCAATAGAGCAGAGAAAGGGCATTGGGATTAGTTTTTAAAGCTCTTTCTGCGGCAAACCACTCGGGGTTAGGGTACTTGGTTGAATCGAACCTCAGACCTTCCATTTTGCTGCTCTAGCTCTTGGCCCCTAAGTAGCAAATAAACCTGGATTTAATGCCACAGCTCATTTGAATATCGTTGGCATCCACCAGGGTACTATCCTGGTAATACTACCGAAGTAGCCACCGATGTGTCGTTCCCCAAAGACCAAACATTCAAACTCCGTCCACTGCGTGACTTACCGCACAGCTGTCTACCAGCGAGCGGATGTAGGGGTTGTTGTCATATGACATCTCCTCATCATTGGAGCCCAGGAAGCGGATGGCCTTGTCGTAGTTGTCCTGGTCCTGGTCGTGCCAGGCCACTGAGTGGTAGCAGTTGTAAGTCATGTTCTGTCTTGCTGATGCGCTCAGCAGTCGCAAGAACGTCATCTGGACCACACCGATCGGGTTGCCCTCAGCGTCCACGTAGGAGAGCTACGTAGAAAAAAAAAAAAAAAGGAAAAAAGGAAAGGAAAGACCACAGAGTGAGTGGAAGGAGCAGAGACGTGACCACCAGGTGGAGGCTGCAGGGTAGGGAACATGTACAACAAGGGTAAGGATGTCCTGAGGGTAATTGACAAGATTTACTCAACACACGGTCAGGACCGTGCTGTGCAGTGTGTCAGTGTCCTGGGAGTCATTTTGAATAAATTTACGACGAGTCATTTCTTTCCTGTTTTACTGCGGCGTGGAGATATCTCTCTGTTTCATATTTACAGTGCTGTTAGAATAGCGTGTCATCCAAGGACACGGGATTTATACTCACTGCCGCGCTCTGTGGAGGCACTGCCAAGACTAATAGATCTTTAAGGTGTGTGTATGTGTGGCACTGACTTACGTACAACGCAGTGACCCAGAGTGGCTAACCACTGCGGTGGTAAACTTGTCGGTTAGTTTTAGTGTTCTTCTGTACCAGATAGCAAAGTAATGAGGCCTCACAGCTATTAACACGGCAGACAGAAAAATATATTTCCTTAAACTTACGAGGATACTTCCTGTACGTGAAGGTACAACTAAGGTTGTTTATTTTGTAAACACAGGGGATCATGTGCTTCACTGGCCTGCCTGCGGTCCAGATCCAACTGTTTGTGTTGCGATAGGCTACAAGAGTAGACTTTTTTGGGTGGGACAGTGAGGGAAAGAACCAGTAGACGGAGAAATGTCCTTGTCATTTTCCTTTTACAAGTCTTAGAACAGGGGTGTCAAACTCATTTTGTACAATCATAACATAATAACCTATGAATAACATTAGGTCTATGTTTCTCTCCTTTGTTTTCATGCAAATAAGTTTTAAGTTTATAAAGAAAATATTTATGTTTAATGACAAATCATGACAAACATGTCAAGTGTTTGTGCATTTTTTTCACTCAGTTATCAAGCAGGCCAGATTGAACCCCCCTCCCCCTCCCCCCACAGGGCCGGTTTTGGCCCGTATGTTTGACACACATCTTGTATGTAAATATATGGTGCTGTACATATGGTGATACATAATTGATCTCATTCCAAAGAGAGCAGAGGTCTCAGATTTGTGGGCATCTAATTGACTTTTAGCATGTTTTTAATGTAAAAAAAGCTTTAATTTCCCTAAAAATATTATTGTCTGTCACCCACTAGAACTTGAATTCTACTACAAGTACACATGTATATATTTTTTATTAAATTGGACAGGTCTCTTTTGTACTTTTCTTCCCACATTTGATCAATTTTAGAGAGGATTAGAGCAAAATGGTCATCAGGTTTGGTCACAGGAAATAACAGTAAAAAACTGTGATCCTGTTTTTTGGATTTAAAAAACAGAATCAAATCTGAATCTTAAAATCTCGCTCAAACAGATGTTTGTATTTAAAAGGTGTACAAATGCAGTTTTCCACTCTTGTACACCTGACCAGGTGATAAATCATGTGAAGCTAATTATTACTGTGTCTTTTGTGCTGAGCTCATTTAAAAAAAAAAAAAAATCAGATAATTTATAAAATAGTCACAACCCTATCTTTAAACCTGGACGTTGTAATTATGTAAATGTGAGGGCAAATTATGAGAGAATCATCGGATGTAATTATCTTAACACCAAACGTTAGCAGCGAGGCATTAATTACATGGTAATTTGTGTATAATTAACCTGTAATTTTAAATCTGAAGCTCATGTGGCAAAACACAGCTGCCAGTGACTCTGTACAATCCTGATGTAAGGATGAAGGGGAACATCATCGGGATTTATTCGGGAATACCAACCACCGGAAATCCATAAGATCCACACGACTGCTTCGTCTTTCAGATATTCAGGACTTACTGAGAGCAACATGCAGCATCCACGCCATGCAGCCGGAGGAGTGTGTGTTCTGTCACGACTCGCTCTGAGACTTAAGCCCACACACACCTCAGCACACACAAAACCAGGATACAACACTCAAACCTATTGACTTGTTGTTGTTTTTTTACATGCACCACATGTAGCATCGGTGCTAAAATGGTTATTTAGCCAATGTGTTTGGATGTAAGGTTTGAGTGTGGCTCTGGTTAGAACCAACTGCTGCACAGGGACATGCATTTTCTTTCTTCTTCCCTCCACCATTCTCCCTCCACTCCCTCCCCCGCTCTGTCCCACACCACCAAAGAAACATTACCTCTTCATCATCACAGCCGCAAGTCAACAGTGACTGAGTACCCAGAAGCCCCTGAGTGGCGACTGCGTGCCTGACTTGTTTTGACTCAGCGCACTGCTGCAGCTACAGATGTTTACCTGTAGCTTTTCACCCCGTGGACATGGAACAGGTGAGAAATTGGTAACTGGACTTTTTTTTGTATGTCAAAAATATTTCGCCTCTTCATCCAAAAGGATTCCTCAGATTTAACTGAAAACATACATTACACTGAAATTCCGCAATATTTCGTTTCACAATACCCTATCAAGCCCTGTAATAATTTTCATTAACAATTATCATGCACATATTAATGCCGTTAGTTCATTTTATTTTTCTTTATTTCAAACTTTTTTTCAGGGCACCCATATTTCAACATAAAAGTCACAAACGACCCAGTCTTTGGGAAACAATGATGCAGCTCCCTCTGTTCCAATTGTGTGTTTACTTTGCCCACAGTTTTCCTCCAATTAAACTGTTTAAAAAAAAAACAAAACCTCATATCGTCGTGCCTATACTATCAATATATCGTACTGTTGCCTCTGTATCGCGACACGTGTCATATCCCCAGATTCTCGCCAGTACACGTCACTACTACAGTCAAAACTTGTCCGTCTGTAGTGAGGAGGTGTCAGTGCTTTTTGAGTCATTGATGAGGCACGCAGTCACTCTCGCAGAATGCTCCCTAAATGAAGCAGAGTTGTAGAGTGGAAAACAAAGCCCTGAATTACTACAGTATAACTACAGTTATACATTTTACAGTTATTTTTTTAATGAAATATATCCTACAGCTCTAGAAACTCTGCCTACGTGCTCCACAAACCTCTGCTGTATTTCCTTGGGAGAGCATCACCTTTGTCGCTGGACTAGATCTGAGCGCAGCTCATGCTGAACCATGCACCATCATCACATCACAACAAGCAGGAGCCAGTGCACGTACTGTACATACTTTGCAGTTGCAGAACCAGAACCATGCAGAGCCTCAGCCACACTGAGTCCAGGCCTTGACCAGGACTCTGGGACCACAGGGAAGGCCACTTACCAGGGAACCTCTCTTGTAGTGACTATACCATGTGCCTGGCGTGTCTTTCGGCCATTTTGCCATTTTGCTCTGTAAAATATAAGAGGCATTCAGGGAAGGTACTCATGGAAGTCAGGAGTCTGGCTTACCAGTTTACCACGTTTGAATTCACTGAACCAGGAGCCGGGATTCTCCTTTACCCAGGACGTGAGCCTAGCCTGGGGGTACGGATCAAACGGGGGGGCGGAACAGGGGGAGGGAAAAACAGCAGCGTTAAAGAAAGAAGAGGATATCACAAACACAACACCATGTTTTTCTTCTCTCCTTTCTGCTCCTCCCGCTGGTCCTCAGAAGAGTCACCAAGACCTGAAATGGTGTTATTCAGCAAGATGAACCAGAGCAAAGGCTGGGCAGAGGAAAGGTTTAGTAACCAGACCTGGCAGCGAACTGCTGCTGAGAAATGTATGAATAGACTGTACATTCATTATAAAAGGACAGACAAACCGCAGCCTGTGTTTAGTGTTCGTGTTGTGCAACTGTAGTGGACTAACCTTATTAGGCCACTAAAAGCTGCAGCTCCTATAAAAGCTCCCATGGTCTGAGGCAAGACGGTGAAATTTACGTCCTCATAATGAGTGGCCGAGGGTTTCATATGGAACTGTCATCAAACGCCTAATGCCATAATGAATTAACGCTGGGGCCGAGTTTATCGTTGTTGGGCGTCGGTACAACTCCTGCTGCGTGAAGGTGACCGTACGTTGTTCTCACAGTGGGAGCAAATGTACCTACGCAGAGAGGAATTTTTCTTCCTCTCAGGAATTAATGACTGAATGTCTAAAAATCTAATTGTGCGCCCGTGCTTTTGACAGTATAACTATCTGCTGTTATAATTACTGAGCCAATCAAACCGTACGTGCTTCCCGGCTCTGGCGTCTTTGTGATGAGAGCAGCCCATCAGCCGTGCGCTATAAAAAGTCTGATTCATTATTCTGAGCTTAAGCAAACTCCCGCTCCTCTGAGGCTCGGTGAGAGGGACCATTAAATTGGCAGTGGCACAGTCCTATTACACAACCCCCCGACTTGTCAAACACAGAGTCTGCAGTCTTTCACCACTCAGCTATCCTATCCTCTCCTGCACAAAACCATGCATTGAGGAAGTCAAAATGTCCCTCAATGTGCCTGTCACTCGCCAAAGGCCTTCAGATTTGATGACATTCATTCTAAAAATGGCACCAGAGCAGTAGGAGTGGGAACGATGCCTGGTGCACTGCATGAGAGAGTAGTTACCCTCCGTGTCAGAGCACAACTGTAATTCAGTCTGTGTGTAAAGTAAGTCGTGGTCTTTGAGGGAAAGTTAGTCCAATCACATGAACACTGAACATCACACAGTTTCAAATGTACACATTACTGATACGATATGCAGACGTTAGCACCAGACGACACAGATACAGTGAAAGAGAGTCAGCTTTATCTCAAATAATGGACTTCAGCCAGTGAAGGTCCTGATGAAGTCAGTGAGTTTCTTCTAGTTCTGCGTGTATACTGCAGTTAAGGCTAATGGCTAATACTTACTGGTCATGGGACCTAGGTTTAGCTGTATTTGTGTGTCCTTGTCCAAACGGATTATTTTACTAGATACGCTTAAGTACTCCATCTGTGCAGTGTAAAATGTCTGTTGGAAAATGTCACCTTACTGGTCGTTTTCATTTTACTGCTCTTTTTCTCCGTTGCTTTCCTTTGAGGCAGAACTGTGTAAAACATTTTAGTACACATTTTACCTGCTCACCATGATGGTACATTTCTTCATTTATTAAGATATAAAACTAATTGCTTCCTTATTGTTATTTTTATATTCTCAAATTTGTGTTGTCTTTTCTGCTGATGTTTCTAGATTTCCCAGTGGGGGAATATTAGGGTCTTGTCACGTCGTATTTTAGCTTAGCTTGTTTTGGCTTAGCTTGTTTTGGCTTTGCTTGTAAAGCTTGTAAAATTAGCCAAACTAAACTTAGCTCATTGTTACTTGTTTCAATGTAGCTTGTTTGATCTTAGCTTAGTTTAGCTGAGCTTTTGTTCAAACAATAGATATTAAAAACCAGGGCTGTCTCCTGTGAGGTGTGAACTATGGCTAACAACTGCCTGAAACTGTTACGTCACCGGGGCTGAAGCGGTGACAGATACCTCAGTCTGCCCTTTATATCTCTAAACTGAGCGTGTGTCAGTTTGTGACTGTGTGAACGTGTCAGAAACCAGACATACCCCTTCAGACTTCTTATCTGGGAAGATGCAGCTCTCTCCACTTGCTGTGAAGTTGCAGTAAACTTTGAAGGAGTCTCGTGAGCAGCCCTGGTTTGGATCGATCCAGTATTCACCTAAAGAGAGAGAGACATAGAGAAAGAGAGAGAGAGAGAGAGAGAGAGTGAGAGGGGTTCATTTTCAGATTTGGTCATGAAAATATTAGATGCAGTGCATGAAACAGTGGATATTTTTATCTACTAATACTACTTTCACAGCCATGATGGAATATCTATTACAGTATCAGAGCTGCAATACTGTGGAAGTGCTGCATATGGTAATAATCTCAATAACGCGAAAATCTTGGTATAAGTTTTGCAATATCCTGTTTTCTCAGCAGTCAGAAGACTTTCTGCAGCCACAGGCAGTCACTGAGCTGGGATGTGATACCAACCATCTGGGAAATCGGGATGACAGAGCTGCAGGTCCTTGCAGGTACGAGCGGGGTTCATCTGTGTGCCCAGTGGGTGCTTCATCTGCTCGATCTCCAGTTTCAGAGAGTTGAGGGAGCCAAAGATTTCCTCCATGCCGTCGTCGTAGTCCTTGTAGTTGGCATCCAGGACGGGTTCATCCATCATCTGGCTGGCGTCGATGTTCCTGCGTGTTCTTCCCTTCATGGAAGCCTGGATCGGGAGTGGGTGGATGACGTCACCAGGAGGGCCCTGTCATGAAGAGGTGACATGAAGTCAGTCATATCAGCAGAACAATCATTAAAGAACGTATACAATGTAGTTATACAATAATAAACCTAATGACGAGGACCGTGATGAACTTACAGGAGGACCAGGAGGTCCAGGTGTCCCGCTCTCTCCCTTTGGTCCAGTTTGACCCTGAAAAGGTCAAATTAAAATATTTAACGAAGGCTTTAGACACAGTTACCATTATCTATGATAGACGTTTACATAAACACTTACAGATGATCCTTTGGCTCCTTTGGGACCAGGAGGACCCTAAAGATGCAACACGTAGTGTAATCAGTACCAGTTCATGATTAGACTAAACAAAATACACAATAAACATTGTCTCACAGGCAATCCAGGAGGACCCACGGGACCATGTGTGCCGGTGGGACCAGCAATACCCTGGTGAATAGAAGAAGAAAAAAATACAAAACCAAAGTGATTGCTGTGTCACAACAGAAGCATAGAGAATAAAACACTTTGAAAGACTGTGAACCTAAGGATAATCAATACTCTTTAGAAAACACACTGCTGGGACCAACACCAGACCACTGCAGCACCTGCAGTCCATTCATCGTCCACAGAACCACCGACTACATTGTGTGAGTCTGACCAGAACAGTCTGTTACTTACATTGTCTCCTTTGGGACCAGACGATCCCGGAGGACCAGGCAGACCCCGGTCTCCCTTTTCTCCCTGTTCACCTGAAGGTCCGATGAGACCAATGAGACCTGGGTGACCCTGGTGGCGTAGGGAGAAAAAAGTCAATAGGTTATTAATGCATCCGCACAAACATTAGCCCCGTGATATATCTCTGTAGAACAGCCTCTAATCATTTGAGTAATGATCGAATGGCTGGAGGCAAACAGCACATCTAATCAATCTGTGAGTAAACAGTTTCATTAGTCTGTGTTAAAGTATTCACTGTAGCTTATGCTTCACACAGAAACACGAGCCTGAGTGGAGCAGCTGCAGCAGAGACTCACCTTCTCTCCTTTAACACCAGAGTCTCCTTTCAGACCAGGTAAACCAGGAGGGCCCTGGGAGAGAGAAACAACTTCACATCAGCTGTGGGCTCCCACATCAAACACTCCGGTTGAAAGACCAGGGGTCACTACTACTCACCATAGGTCCAGGAGGTCCATCTGGACCAGGAGAACCGGGTAAACCTTGTTCTCCCTGTAGATGAAAAAAAACAAAACATGGGTTAGTTTTAGCTTTTTTTACCGTTTTAAAAACAGCACAGATCTTACGTTACCGTTTTAAAAACAGCACAGATCTTCAAAACATGAGTTTTAGCTTTTTTTACCATTTTAAAAACAGCACAGATCTTTTATGAATCAGTAATGGACTCAAGGTATATTATAGTAGACAGTATATAGTATAGTTATATAGTATTATTGTTGGTCAAACCAACAGCCTCGATACTGTCACATTTATAATTATATGTAGTACAACAACATGTCACCTCCCTTTGGACTTGAATGTGTCATTTATAAATGCAATGCTACAAAAGTGATCTAATGCTGTTCTGTCTAACGACCTATCAGAGCATGGTTGTCATGGAGATGACAGCCAACCAAAAAGAAAAGGAAAACAGTCTCCTTTCACATTTTCGCTTCTGCAAATATATGGTTCACGGGCCGGATATGGACCACCATTCAAGGGGCCATTGTTTTATAACTTCAGCATGACTGTGAGGGATAAATGTTTCACTTACAACTGGTCCAGGAATACCCCTCAGGCCTTCAGAGCCAGGTTTGCCAGGTGACCCTTGAGGGCCTACAGGACCTGTCTTTCCTTGAGGACCTTCTAGACCGGACTCTCCCTGAAGCACAGAAACAAGAGCATGAGCCATTCACACCCACCTTTACTTTTTATTTTATTTAAAAATATCTCATCTTTTCTACCTTGGCTCCTTTCTCTCCTTGTCTGCCCTCGGGTCCTGCTGGTCCAAGAGGGCCCTATTAAAAAACAAAACAAAAAAACAGACATCAGACATGAATAAAAGTCAAACTAATTAGCATTTTAGATAGTGATTAACAATTGATCTGACACTCACTCGCTTTCCTGGTGGTCCAGGAGGACCAGACTCTCCAGTGGGTCCAGGTGAACCCTAGTTCAGAATTAGACAAGACGTTAATTCACACCAACAAAGTTACAGTCACATGGACATTGACCAACAGAGCAGCAGTAAAGGCTACACTCACAGCCTGACCGGCCTCTCCATCGTCTCCTTTGTCACCAGCTGGACCATCCAACCCCTACACAGGAATTTGAATTGATGTTAAATTAAATGACTAAAAACAAAGTCAGTATAAACGGGCAGAGGAAATTATTTCTCATTGATATACGTACAGCAGGGCCAGGCTCTCCAGGGGGACCAGGATCACCAGGGAAACCACTTGGACCCTGGAAAAGGTTAAATTTGATTAAACTTCCATTTATTTTTTTAACCCATGTGTGATTAAAAAGAGAAACAGATTTTGTTAAAATGAGATCAGAATGGGACTTACAGGACTGCCTTTGGGACCGTCATCTCCAGGTGGACCTTTAGGGCCGGGAGGTCCTGCTGCACCAGCTGGACCGCCCTCTCCCTTCTCTCCTCGTTCTCCTCTAGAGCCCTGGAATAGAACACAGTGATGAGAAATTTGGGATTGGATTGTTAGAGGCAGGACAGTTAAACAGGAAACAGAGCGAATCTTTTCCCGAGGACATCAGCAAAGAGATTGAGTCTCTACAGTCTCACTAGAAAAAAATAAAAATAAAAAGTGATAACTCACTGGTGGGCCGACTTCTCCCTGAGGACCTGGCTCTCCTGTCTCACCACTATCTCCCTGAAAAGAGAAGGGAGAGAAGATATTAGAGAGGGCAAGATAGTGAGATACAGTTGTACAAGTATTAGTAATAGTTCTATTCAGTCACTGTAACAAGTACAAGCAGTACATGACAAAAACACACATGGACTGAATAAGGCACATACTATAAATGTCTGTCCTCAATTTGTACAGTCATGAAGCATCAAAATACTGCAAACTAGGGTTTTCCAGATACCATTCTCATGAGTATGGATACAGCAAATAAAAATATTATATACGGTATATAAAATATACTTCCTGTAGGATTTATGCAACCAGAAGACCAGAAAGTGAGCAGAGCTTTTAGGCAGAAAAATATATTTGACTTAACACTGTCACCTGATTCAGTGTCATTTAAACCATGTGACAGATAACACAGTCAAAATTGCAAGTACAGAAATCATTGCTGTTATCTTGTACCTCTGACTACCTGATATTGTGTACTCTGTACCTCTGACTACCTGATATTGTGTAAACTATATCAGAATATTTGAATGAAGTACTGGAACCAATACGCCGTATCCCCGTCTCATTAAGAAACACTAACATATATTTTCATTTCACCAATTTAAATGGACATATCTGGAACCAATACGCCATATCCCTGTCTCATTAAGAAACACTAACATATATATTCATTTCACCAATTTAAATGGACATATAACCTCCAATGTTAATATTGTAAAGTTTAAAACAAACAACAAAATAAAACAAAAGAGCGGTATAATGGCAACACCTGCTAACACCACTCTATGATATGTAATATGTTTTGCGTATGTTAGCTTAGCATCAATCACCAAGTCCTGGTGTCTTGTAAATCCTCTCATTATTTTATCAAATTTGTTCAGATGGGGTGATTTGCTGATCCAGTGTTGTTCAATATATCCCATCCATCACCTCGGCTCTGTCCCCATGCCCTTGTCTCCCAGATGGGAGCAGAAAGAAACAGATGACACAGGAGATTTCAATACCCAGATGGGAGCAGAAACAGATGACACAGGAGATTTCAATCCATCAACTGCCAGGAGATAGCATGACTGAAGAGAAGAGGACACTGACCTCAGTCTTTTCCCTCTACTCTGCCCATATATCTTGTCCTCTTCTCTCTGCTCTATTAAACCGTGGCCCTGTTGACTCACCTACACACCGACCACCATTGTTACAGTCACCTCTCCCCTGTGGGCTTTACTGCAGATGCAGTAAATACTGTTAGACCTTAGCGCTAGCGTTGTACTGGTACCATTTTTATTTTTAACAAACCCGTATGACTAGTATTTGTGTAGTGGAATGAATAAAGATAAATAAAATTAAACTCTCTGCATAAAAAAAAAATAAAGACGATGTGTCACGTAAACTGAGTAGCAATTTTCAGTAAACAAATAACTCACACACAATGTTGGTTGAATCTCTTCTTACTGAGGTGTAAACGCTTCATCTATCTAATGTGCCATCGCACATTTAGCGCTAAGAAATTAGCATAGTCAGCACTGAGAAAATAGCATATACAGTGCTAAGATATTAACATATTAGTGCTAAGACATTAGCGTATTCAGTGCCTGGAGGCACATCTGCAGGTGTTTAATTAAACTGCTCGTTTTTTTTAACAGATCGAATCTTACAGTCGGTCTCGCTCCTGTCTCTGTCCCTCATGTTGAAATACCTACAAACTGCTGATATTGTTGAACTACTGCAACAAGGACAACAAAACACACAACACTGGTCGAAATGAAAAACTGTTACTGAGTACATTGTCGTTGGATTGGCCAATGTTCTAAAGAACAAGTATTTGAATAATTAATCAGGCCCCCAACCCTACTTTAGACGCTCATGACAATTTTTTCAGCAGCCTGTTCTGATGAGAACTTCCACCGTCTCCTGATTAAAGTGTAACTTTTGTCAGAAAATCTCCAGCATCTGTCAGGAAAAATACTGGTAGCGGCTAAAAGCTGAGCTGATCTTTCTGAATTCACATCATTTACCGCTCTGTCGAAACGTTTCATCCGACAAGCCATGCGCGGCCCCTGACCTCATCCTCATAACAAGCTGTTCATGTCTGCCACACTGAGGCTGGTTACAATCTGCTGAGAGCATTAAAGACAAGTGCTCATCAGAAGACACAGAGGAAGTGTTTGGGCAAAAGGCCTGAACTCCTTCGTTCCTTGCCAGCTCCTTCAACTGGCTAATAAAATGCCAGATCAGCTGAGGAACACTTACCCCAACGAGTGCTTTGTTTGTTCACACGGGAAAAGGACGCTTCTGGATAATACTATTAAAGAGCAAAGGGGTGATTCTATTGACTGATGCAAAAATAACTCACACCATCACTTTGTATAAAGACGCAGCTGAAAGTGCACAGCACTGCAGCAAAAGCAGCCAAAGCCGGCCTTTCATAATACAAGAAGAGCAACAAATAAGAGCCGGGAGTTGATTTGACGAGAGCCTCCATTAATAATGCATTTATCATTTCTGTTTTTTAAAAACAGTGCCACTGAGTATTTATTCACACTCTCTTTGTTCTCAGCAACAGTGCTGCTGGAGAGGGCAGCCTGTCCGTTAGATTTACTGTGCACTTGTCACTCTGCAGCAGAGGGAGAAGAGAGAAGAGGGGGAAAAAAACACCCTCAAAACAACCGTGCCCTTATTTAAAAGGGTTTCATACAAATAGCCATGTGAAATATTAATGGCTGAGAAGCCTCATAAAGAGGGATCATTCACAGTCTTTACCACCCAACACTCAGACTGCTGGCAGCCTGAATCTGCTTCCTCTAAGAGTGCTGTAAAAACCAGTCGACTGGATAAAACCGTTCGCACCTGACGCCTCTGGGGGGCGCGGCGAAAGATGTGTTGGCTGCCATATTAGTCTGGGATTGATGGTATCAAAATTTGATGAAAATCCCAAATTGAAATGCAGGGTTCACATCTGCAGAGACATTTTGCTCAGCAGCGGTGTAGCTTCCACATCGTTCAGCCGAACACGACAGCAGCAACAACATGGTTCCTTCACAGCAGACAGGTTTCTTCAAGAGGACTTTGTTTTCTAGAACTATTTTCTACCTTTTTTTCTAAAAAAGCTTCTCCCACTGAACCTGAAATTGCTCATTAAACCCCTGCCATTTAGTTTCAGTGCCGTAACTGTACGGATGTTATCAAACCACATTTGCAGATTAACTGCTGTGCATCTTGGGTAAAGGCACTGACAAGTCAAAAAGTCAGACGTGCATGTTTGTGAACGTGTACATGTACTGGATTTGTTTGCATATTTTTTCATTCATATATAACTGTAATAGTATTTTTTTACTTCAACAATTCTATCAGCCACATGGCAGATTAATCACGATTAATCAAGATAGATTTAATAAGGAAAAATGTAAAGAATGTAATGTAATGTAAAGAAAAATATGCAAAAGAAAAAGATAGATTTAATATGGAAAAATGTAAAGAAAAATATGCAAAAGAAAAACTCATCTCAAATACGGTATATTAGAGCATTAACTTAGATAACATACATACTGTATATGTGTGTGTTCGTACACACATATATATATATGTAAGACGGACATGGCGTTAATACACCATCAATTTTAAGCATCGCAAAGAAAATTCCTCGTTTTGCCGCTGACGGTCGTGACTGAACATAAATTACCTTTTCTCCAACAGCACCAGGGTTTCCAATGCCACCAGGAGGACCCTGTGGACCATCTGCTCCTGGAGGTCCTGAGGGGCCTCTGGGACCAGGGGGGCCAGGTGGACCCTGAGTGTGAAAGGAGTACATTTATTAAAGTAATACTGCAGTACGTGCTGATGTTTTTTTTAATTGAATAGATTTAAATAATTTCAGTAAAATCAATACAAAATCCTACCATCTGACCAACGTCTCCAGTTTCACCTTTCTCACCGGGTGGTCCAGGTAAGCCCTAAGAAGACAAGAGACATTTGTTTTTATAATTATGTTGAATTAATATAGATGATTAATACTGGTGTTGGACATTACGGTCCACACCTGAAGTCCAACTGGTCCTGGAGGTCCAGGGAACCCTCTTAGACCGTCGTCACCCTTCTGTCCAAACAGACCCTGCTGACCTCTGGGACCAGGTTCACCATCAGCACCCTGCATCAGACAGAGAGGTCATAATCAGGAAATGCACACCACCTGCGGGTGATGCTAAAATACACACTCAGAGCTGGACTTACAGCAGGACCAGGTGCTCCAACAGGTCCTTGAGGGCCAGTTGGACCAGGAGGGCCCTGGAAATGAGAAAAAAAAAATCAAATCAGGATGATGGTCAACAGATTGATCAAACTTTGACAGTTGATAATTGAAAATGATTAGCCTTCAAATAACTTACGTGCTCGCCTTTATGGCCCTTGCTTCCTTTCTGGCCTGGTTCTCCAAGCTCTCCCTGTGGAAAAGACACGGCGAACAGTCAGATTAAAAAAAAAATGTAATTCACAGAAGAAGGGGAAAAAATATGACTCTGCAATATTTATTTATGATTCCTTTTCAGCACAGGTCGTAAAGAAACTATAAAATGAATACAGTGACAGGTTGTAAGGGTTTTTTTTTACCACATAATTTAGAAGAAAGATTGTTCTAAAGATATATAATCTACAGTTGATTTCTCCAAACTAAGACAGAACTGAACGGTGCTGCAGGATTTAAAATTCAAGGAAGTTGTGTTTGCAGTGACCTTGACCTATTTTGGTAATATGCTATGCTAACGGTTGACTTATTTTGGACCTAGAATAGACTGAACTTGTTGCACTACTGAATGGCTGATTTTTATGATTTTCTGGACAATTTTGATCATCTTTAGCCTTTTTATGCTAGATTCTGTGTAGAACAGAAACTTTCAGGAAATCCCCCAGAATTCTACAAAGGAAAAATAATCTCTGAAGGAAGAAGTGTTTAGACTTAATCCTGTTCCTGTACAGAGAAACCTCCCTGTTATTTTCAAATATTCATCTTTTCTTTTAATTCCGTCTCCTTGATCGAGCCCCATTTATTTCCTGTTCCTGTTCCTGTTCCTGTCCTGGACACATCATATGGACCTTCCAGACTCCACATAGCAGAAGAAAAACCAGGTGTGTTTACGGACAGAATACTATAACATTACACAGCATGTTATTAAAATACAATATACTGTAGACACAAAGGCTGAACTTCAAAAGTGTAACCGCTGATGATCCAGTGATAAGACGGAACATGTTCTTTTTATCCTGCAACAGTTGGACAAATGTGGATTGGACAAAACCTATGAATATTTCAATTACATCACTCCTCACAAATATAGCCCAGAATCTGAAGGGAGCTTATCGTGACAGATGAGTCACGGGCGCTACTAGGAGCCAAAGAGAAGGAACAACAGCCCCACATTGAAAGTGCACCGTTCTTCCAACACCTCCTCGAGGAAGTGGGTGTTAGCAGAAATAAAGCTAATAACAACCAGAGCCAGGGGCATTTACTTTGGGCTTTATCTGAGTAATGCTCTCTGTGAGCCACCATTAGTCTTCCTGAATAAAGGCCCCCGACTGTGGGCAAATATTAGCTCATATGATCCCTCTGCCTGCGTGATAAATACCACATGTATTATCTGTATCTATCTGCACACGGGGCTACTTTGGGGTTTGTTATAAACTGAAGCTTTTTATTAAAACAATAATAGAGAATCCACGGAGGATTAGCGTAGCTGGGAATGCTTGAGTAAAGAATCAAAGTTATTAAGGCTCGTATTTACAGCCCTTTTCTGTACTCATCGGTTTGTGCAGAGGTTACCAAGTGTCCACAGAAGCAAATCAATGCAAGCTCCTCCAGACTGATTCCCTGTAGAGTATTTAAACCTGCAGCCGGAGGAAGATCTTTGGCTGAAATATCTGATGTAAAATGCAGAGTCTAAGTAAAGTAGAGTTTCAAATATGTGCTGAAAACGTATACGCACCTTGTCTCCATCCTCTCCAGGTGGTCCGGGGGGTCCTCCAGGTCCTGGCAAACCAACAGGTCCTTGAATGCCATCTCTTCCAGCTGGGCCTTGAGGTCCTTTCTCTCCCTTTAAGTTTTTTTTTGACACATCATACTGTCAGTCAGGCTCACTGATTTTTTTTTACCTGTTTGTTAGTGTTATCTTCAATTGAGGCTAACTTACCGGTCCTCCCTTCTCCCCAGCAGGGCCTGGAGGTCCTTGAGGGCCAGGGCGACCTGGGAGTCCAGTGGGTCCATTAGGGCCGGCAGGACCACGTTCACCAGGAGAACCCTGCAGTACCACATCAGTTAACAAAATGACTGGACAATATGCAAACAAACACCCAACACCGGTGTTCTGACAAATTATACCTCATCAATAACAACAAATTGTACATTATGTTATTGTGTTGACATGTTCTAAAATAGTTCTGTGTTGTTTGTTTGAAACTTTGGTAGAATGTGCTGCTGCCGATTTAGGACGCTCTAGTAAAAGAGATGGTTAATCTCCAGAGGATTTCCTGGATAAATAAAAAACACAAAATTGACCTAAAATAATTTATTTACTGAAAACTATCTGCAGTGCAGTACAATCTTTACACAAACATACAGATGAGACAGAGGTAGAGGGGGGAACTCATAGGTCATAGATGAACGTTAAGAGACGTGTCGTTAATGAGTAACTAACTGGTTTCTGTTTGATCTTGTTGTGTTTTCAGTAAGCGTTTTTAGAAGTGACATTTAGTTGTGAACAGAAAGCGTTTTGTGACATTTAGTTGTGAACTTCACTATTGATTTGAATGCAAGGAAGTGACAAATACATGATGTCACTGGGCCTCGTCAGATCAGCAACTATAATATTAATATTTAATAAAACATAGCTTACAATGACAATGCCATAAAGCCAAATAAAGATGTTTTAAAAATATCACAAACATATTAGGATTTATCCAATTTAAATTCTGTCAGCATAAAATTCAAATTTAGTTTAGGCGTAAGACTGAGTTACAACATAGTCAAAAGACTAAATCTAATGCTTTAACATGACTTGGTTCCATTGGGTAATCATTTCTACATTACTTATTGTTTAATTATAACATTAGGATGATTAGAGGCTAAGACTAAAGGTCTTCTTGATTCAGCTGATTGTTAAATATGGTTTCAGTGAATTACTAAGTTACACATATTTGATCTTATTGTCTTTTTATAAAATGGGATTTAGTTTTAATCAAGAGAGCGTTTACTTTAAGGAATACATGTCATGTACGTACGAACTGAACTAAACTACTCTGCTATAATTAAGATGTGTTAAAATATATTCTCCAATTTCTGATATCAATTATTGTCCTGATGAATTTGTCTGCCTCTTATATAAGGAATCATTGTCATCTTCGTCTACAGCGAGTAAAAGGAGAGGATGAGGAGAAGAAGAAGAGAGTAAAGATGAAGAACCGATGCAGTCACATGTACTCACAGCAGGACCAGGTGGACCGTGAGGACCCTCATTCCCTTTCAGGCCATGAGCCCCCTGCAGAACAAAAATTGACAACCTCAGAAAACACACACACACCTCTTGGGAAAATTGGTCACACACACAGTGTCAGACACAGGACCGTTCTCTCTCAAACAGGCTCAGCATGAAATTTCAAATCTCCCATCATCCTCAGACTGGAGCGTGAGGACAGATGGAGACAACAGTCATTTACCAGAGCTGCTGCTGTAAACACAAGATAGAAGGTGTGTTCTTCTTCTGGAAAACTGATTCTGGCAACAGAACGAATGGATTGTATAACAACCGGACGGTGACTTTGATGGGTTCAAACACTAGCAGCAGTCTGGAGTTCTCTGTTCCTTCACTAATGCCCAGTCAGGGGTGCTGCAATTGCTTTTGTGTTCATGTCAATCTCATAATAAATGAATAAAGCCAAAGCTGTGAGAGATACTGAGTTTGTCTATTCTATGATAGAAGGTGGTAAATGATAACTTAACAATAAATTAATAAAAAGACACTTACCACAGGGCCAGGAAGACCTCTCTCACCGGGGAAACCTCGAAGTCCAGATGGGCCGTCCTTACCTGCTGGACCAGCAGGACCAGGGTCGCCCTGTAACGTAGATCACAGAGTCATATATGCTGTAAGTTAGTGGTCTATCTGTGGTTTCCAAAGTGGGGGGCGACCACCCTCGGAGAGCACAAAGCCACTGCAGAAGGCACACCGTAGGTCAATATATATATTAATTTATAATATATATTTATATATATATATTTCTGCCACATTGGGAACATTTCACAGATTTTAATAATACTTCCTTTGTTCAATGTGAAAAGCATTTTGACGTGGCGTTTGAAAGCATTAGTTGTGAATGCGTTGTAGTGAGAAGAGGGGGCTCAAAAGGAGGGGCGCTGCTGATAAAACAGTTTGGTAACAGCTGCCATAAAGGACTGGGATTCAGAAAATGCAGTTTCACCTTTGCTCCTTCTTTTCCTGCAGCTCCAGGTAGACCCTGCTCACCAGGTGGGCCTGGGGGTCCAGGGTGGCCCCGATCTCCCATTGGTCCTGTCTCACCGGTTGGTCCCTATCAAAAATGATCGAAAAAAACGAATCATGAATGGTACAATGTGCATCCGTGGTGCAGAGGAGGTGTGAGGAGGCAACACCACAGTGTGCAGAGGATGGCAGGAGGAACAGTGTGAAACAAATTAGCAATTCAAATTCCTAAAGTACGTTTGAATGCAACTGGCTGCGATAAAACATGGCACGGAGAAGCTCAGCATTTGCTGGGTGGGAGGACCTCAGCCATTAAGAGCACACACAGCTCTGTTATCATCCACGGGCATTAGTGGAGTGCATGTGAGGGAAGAGCTGATGCATAATGGATAACCAGTCCAATGCAAATGTGCACAATAAAAAAACAGCACTTATGTCATGAGGTATATGGTGTACTGGTGCAAAGTAAAACGCTCTGTAATGGCTGCTTTTAAAGTACACCGCGTAGAAGCTTCAGTGTAATCTACTCTATTGGTAGAAATCAGTCGTGAATGATATTGACTTTTTCATTACTGCATGAAAAAACAGGTCTTTATTTCTTATTTATTTATTTGTCGATGGAGGCAGCCATGTTGGATCACAGTGTTAATACAAAATAATTTGTGTCTTTTCGTGTGAATCTGTCTTCACCTATTCTCAACTCTTGAGAACATTTGGAGAAAAGAAATGACTGCTTTGGTTTATATTTGAAAAAGTATATAAAAAGGGACTCACCTGAGGTCCAACTACACCTGGAGGACCAGGAGGTCCAGTTTTGCCTTGGAACCCCTGTTGGTTACAGAGAAAAACAAACACAACTGTCAACAACTGATGCTGCAGAGATGGTGAAAATATATACATATATATATATTTAATATATACATATCGACAGTTTACTCACAGTCTCTCCTCTCTGTCCAGGATGTCCAGGAAGTCCGTCTTTACCTGAAGGTCCCTGGAACAGAACCACAGACCCATGGTATCAGAGCTACACCACATCACACTGTACACAAACACCCTGAACAGTTGATGGCGCTGTACTTACAGGAGGACCCTTTGGTCCAGGGAAGCCTGTTGGTCCTTGAGGTCCTGGCAGACCCTGAAAAAGAAGAAGAATTCTGGTCAATGACACGGTGTGTTGAAAGTGGGCGGTCCAACTGACAGGACAGCAGCAGCGGTGATGGTTACATACCCTCTCACCGGGGGGTCCTGGTGGGCCATCATTTCCTGAGTTACCCTAGAAGTACAAAAAAGAAACGAAAATGAACAGAAATGTTGAAGAGATGCAACTGCAGAAAAACTTATATCTTATATCAACCAGTCAACAGGTTCCATCGATGAGTTAAATTACATAGTTCTTAATTGTACACCAAAATATAAATACATACATATAGATTTATATTATATACACACATTTATTATATATATATATATAAATGATATAATATATTTATTGTGGAGAGCAGCAGACTGGTAGGAAGTAACAACCTGAGGAACTCACTTTCAAAAAGCATGTGTGCCCCATTACTAGGAAATATATGGCTTGGCTTTTCTAATTACAATATCTGCAACTAGTAGTGTAATAGTACAGGGTGAATTTGGGTACTGCTGCCAATGTTTTTAAAATCTAAAAAAAAGCTGCAGTTTTATATTCAATAAATAAGGTAATTACAATTACAGCTGTCAATTTAGTTTATATATTTAATGTAATGAACTCATAATGTAATGGAAAATGAATCACACATTTCCTGTCTGTTCTACTGTGAATGTTGGTTATTAAAGTTTGGATTAGTCTTGTTTAAATATAACAGTTGGCAAATATGTTCCAGAATATTCTGTACATTAACATGAACATATATTAACATTATATAATGTTGTAGTACGTCATGGATACAGAGGCCAAATTCTCCAATAAATGTCACCATGAGTCAGGACGGCAGCACTGTTCACTTTTAGAGGCATTCATTGTCATTTAAAGGAAATTTTACTTTTTTTCTTTTTGCCATCCGAATGTTACTGCTGCGCCACCTGGTGGTGCATATGTAAATTGAGCATCATAACAATATTGAAGCTAAAGGTTATTTATGTTAACTTGTATTTATGATGTTACTTTTGGGAGCTCTAAATCAAATGTATGTCACACACTCTTTTGGGTCTAGCTCTAAATCAAATGTATGTCACACACCTTTGGTCCAGCTTTCCCTGTTGGTCCTCGTGGTCCTCTCTCTCCTCGAGGGCCCTGGAAGAACATCGAGATTAAATTCGTTGACATTGTTGACAGTGAACGGTTCATAATTGGGCCAGTTTGGACTCCTTAACTCTGACTTGGGTGCCAAGCCCGTGCCATCTGGATACAAACATTAGATGCTGAGTAAGACTTACCGTTGGTCCTCTCTGTCCACGTGGGCCAGGCTTTCCTCCTGTTCCCTGCAGACACACAGAACACACACAGAGATGAGTGGAGAAGCTTTTACCACCACACCTACAGACAACAACAATTCAACAGATCCAGGCCTTTAAGTAGCTCCCTTTAATCTCCTTAATAGAGAAACGATCTCGGTCAAACTCATCACAGATTTGCTCTTACGCTGCGTCCATTACTCACTCCCAGTTTGATAAACAACAATGCACAATCTAAACAACAGAAGGTATAAACATCATAAATTAAAAAAAAACAACAACAACATTATTTTCTCCCTTTAAAAGGCTAGAAAGTTTCAACAAGTGATGTTTTCTCCTCAGGTTGGCAGCTAGGATTCATAAATTTCTCAGATGTTTTTGTAGAGATTAAATACTCTGTGTGCCCTGCTGCGTCCTGCTGACAAACCATTACTCTTGCAGGCAGGCTAATGGCTCATCCTTTAAACAGGGAAGAATGAAACATTGCTGGATGACCACTGAGTAATAAACATTGCTTTACGTGGTATGACATGAATTGTGGAAGCGAGGAAAGAAGAGAGTCCACCATTGTCTCCCACTTAAAGACAGATTTTTAAAATTTTTTTTTTTGAGCCATGTAACTTCCTCTACGATGATAAATCTTCAGCTCGGACAGGAGGGAATCTCTTCTGCTACACTGATACAATATTGATCCAATGTTTGTGTTTTTTTAGAAATATGAAGTATAATCTGAAGTGGATCTGACATACCCGTGTTCCTTTCTCTCCGTTGGCACCAGGGAAACCTTGGAAACCTTGTGATCCCTGTGTGTGAGAAACACAGCCGTTAGTCATCTCAGCCACACGCCTTAAATGTTATGTATCTTGTTTATGGTCGGACATGTGCACGACTTATTAAACTCAGTGAAATATTGTAGGTTTAATCAAAGCTTTTTCTTTTATTGGTGTGTTGACTACAGAAAGTGTGATTTAAATTGAAATGGCCAATTTGGGTTAAAGCTCCGCCCACTTTCTGTTCAGCTTTCTGTATGTAAAGTATGCAGAAAATTATTTATAATTACTTTATCCATAGTTTTGTTATTTTGTCTAATGCGAAATATTTGTTTCCCTTTTGGATTAAAATAGTCTTCTGTTCTGGTATTATGTTAATATTATATTGACGAGTACACCAATGACAGTACTTCATTGTACTCCTGTTGGTTTTTGCAAAAAATTGAATTGGGACATTGATTACTGGTGTGTACTGAGTGCTGACACCACATGGCAGGTGTATATTTCGGACCTTCAGAGGCTGTAAAAAGAGTGTTGTGATCTAGGGATAATATCAGGGACTGAAAAGAGAAGAACGTGAAGTTTTCTTCTGTGATGAAGTATAGTCTGTATTCTTGGGGTAGAAATACCAGGAAACAGTTGCTGAATTTTGTTTTACAAGCCTTTTCCTAAAAGCCAGAGGGTAAAAATGTTCTATTTCTTATGTTTGCCTGTGTATAATGGATTAGACCCAGAAATGTCTTTTGACTGGGAAACAAACAAAGAATTACAATACTGCTCATATTGGAAAAGTGTTGCTTTTCTGCCGCCACAGGAGTCAATAAAAATATTCTTCATGTGATTTACACTACAGAGGTGAAGGAGGCAGCCAGTGTGTATGCGTGAAGTATTTAGATGAGATGTAAAATCATGAGTGCACAGTATTTCCTCTAATCCAGTTTTTACTAACATTAAAAAGTGTTAACCTCAGACAGAACCTATGTTTTAGTAACGTAAAAGTCCTTACCTTAGGTCCTTGTCTTCCTGGGTATCCTGGCAATCCAGGAACTCCAAGTTTACCCTGTAAAGACAAACAAAAAAAAATTAGCTAAAAATAGATGTTGTTGGTCAAAGCTGATTCAGCAGCCACTCTAATGTACCAACTTTGGCTTTTAATTTGGATAAAGTGGAACCAGCCGTGGTTTCTATGGTGCAATAATAAAACAAAAAGCTCAAACACTGCAATTTCTTTTAAACTATTTCCAGCCTACTAACAGTGTGTGTGTGTGTGTGTGTGTGTGTCCAGGACACAGTCTCCGTCCTGATTGGCTTCTGCTGACATTTTATCTTGTCCCTATCCTTGCCAAAGCCACCACTACAGCTAACGAATGGTCAATGTCAGACCAGACTTATTACTTCATTATCCAGGAAATATAGTGTTTTTTTAATAAGAGTTTGTTATATTGGGTTAAAGTTTGACGAGAACCTGGCCACAAAATGGAGTTTTTAATTTCTCATGTAGCATAATTGATATTTGTGCTGATGAAGGAATCCAGATTAAACTGTGTTTCTAAGGTTACTATGGTTTTATTATTCACTTTTTTTGTACTGTTGGCAATGTCACAGAGACCTTAGCTGAGTAGTTCATCCGCTGTGTCCATGTGATGACGTCTGTAACAGCATGGAGTCTCTAAACAAGTCTGTCTAAAGATTCACAATTCTCTCAGAAGCCTTTAACGACAAATGCCTTTTGCCAAAAATGAAGTAATCAAATAAGCAAACAAAAATCTCCTCCAGACTGGTGTTGGTTTGGTTCAAGTGTGAATCATGTTTGTGTTGCTCATGTTATTACGAAATCTTTGTTGTTTCTGTTCTGCCTGGTGCTTAGCATTAGCATTAGCCTGTACACTGTTGCTCCATTTACACCTGACTTCTTTGTTTGTTTACTAATGTGTAATGATGAAACGCCCCCCGATGGAAGTCCTATGAAGTTGACTCTCCTGATGAAAATCTCTGCTGACTTCAGTACAAGCCAAATGCATCGAGTCTATTTTATGCTACATTAGTGCAGCTGTGAACGTAAACCATTACGATGTTGCTAGTCCCGTTCCAGCTGTTGTGCGCTACATTAGCATGAGCACGAGCACCTGCTTCACACAACAATATTCATAAGAGCCTGTTCGGCGCTAAGATGTGGGAACGTTGGCTGCTGCACAGACTGAGATTAATATGAAAATGCTTCAGCTGTTGACTCATGTGCCGTGCGCACGCTAACCGGCGTGTTCATCCGTGCCTGTGAAAAAACCTGCTGTAATGTAAATATCATTGCTCTAGTATTTCTGCTTCGGCGAGTACTTCGTTACGAGGAGGAATCTACAAGGACGACACATTTACTTCACACCACAGCTCTGCAGCTGTGAACAATGTGAGGTGTCACCACAGATTTGCATAATTCTCACTCAGAGTAAATAAGCGGTTGTAGCTGATAGCATTTGGTGAAAGATGTGCTCGACGATAGTGAAAGTAATCGTGTAATTCTTATGGTTTTAAGCAGGTGAGAAAATAGATGCAATGTTTTCAGTCACAGTGTTCTTCCAAAAATAAAAAAAAAGTACTGAATTTATTCTCTGTTCCCATTTGGTTTAGCAGTAGGAACAGTTGAATGGACTGCTGCTCAGACAGAGCTCATATCACCATCCAAGACTGAACAAAATGTGTTGATACAAAATAAAACAAATGTGTTTAAATACTCTTGTAAAAGAAAATGTCTTATTAATATGTTTTTGTGATTTAAACATTTGGACTGTACCTTTTCACCATTTGGTCCAAGAGGACCAGCATCTCCGGGGAGCCCTGAACGACCTTTTGGCCCCTCTGGACCGTCTTCTCCTCTGGGTCCTGCTGCTCCAAGTTCTCCCTGAAAATAAAAACAAGAAGAAAAAACTTTAGACTTAATTTAAGATTTTGTCATATGTGGTAGTTTCATGATTTATTTTGGGTTGTTGTTGAAAAATCAATTTAATTACTTATGTTATAATATTAAAAAAATATATTAGTCCCTTATTCATCCCACAGTGGGGAAATTAACAGTGTGAGTCCTTGCAACCCACACAGACTGCCACAGGAGGCGACGTTAAGTATGTGGTTCCTCTGGGGCTCGAACCCAGGACCTTCTGAGTGTAAAGCAGACGTGTAAGGCACACTATGGAACCACCTTGTTGTATTACAAACGAATGTTCCTTCTTGGTAAGATTACAACAACACTTTCAGTAATACTTGTAAGTACTACACGTGGAGTTGTGTACAGAGTTTTCCAGCCTTGGCCATTTCATGTAAGTCATCTCACCCTTTGAAGTGTGAGAGTGTAGTTATTTTCATTGGCTGCCTCTCCTCTCAGAGCAGTTAGTGATCCTATTACGGCTCCTCTCTGTGAGTGCGTCCTCCTTCTAGCAGGACACACATTCAATGATGGAGTACAAACTCAGTCTGACAGCAGCCTCTGCAGCACAGACGCCTCGGTGTAAAACAGCTATCCAGCTAAAGGGTGTGCAGTGCGCAGGCACATAAAAAAACAACCAGATACGCTTTCTGTAGGGTTTCCTGAAACTCGGTCATTTGGATTCCAGTCCATGCACATCTCTACACCTCTACAGCAGAGGGTCTCTTCAAGTCTCTCTGCTTTCATCTGGATTTCGAGGCTGGAGCTCTGCGTCCCTTCCTTGAGTTTGAAGGGGTTTAAAGTGTCATTGATTTCTCTTTCCTGTCTCCACTCAGTTACAGACGACGGGTTGACGATTTGATATTTGTAGGGCGTGATGTAAGTTATGTTTTAACTGTTAAAAACAAACAACAAAAACAGGCATGGCCAAGCCTTGACAGTGTGAACTCCTAATGCAGTTTAGGGAACTCAGACGCGCCCCAGTGGTTGACTTGTCAATTGCAGGCCTGAGAGCCGCTGCAGTTGGGAAGGTGGAACATGGGAATAGAAGGAAATCTACAAACTGCTCACGTAAACACCGTCGCACTGGCACAAGCTAACAGCTGGCAACCAGAACAACACCTTATGTTTGCTCATTACCCACAATTCCACGGGAGACAGAAACGTGGACCCATATGGGGTAGTGAATAAAGGTCAACCCCGACAAAGCCTGCTCCCCGAGCACACTGCAGAAGTTATAGTTGTCTTAAAGTGTTTTTTTTCTTCTTTTTTTTACCTTTCTGGAGGTGTGACACATCGACAACAACTCACCCGGTCACCCTTGATGCCCATGTCTCCCTTGAAGCCAGGGAAGCCGTCTTCTCCCTGACAACAGAATAAGGAAGGATGAGGATCTAATAAAGGAAAATAATTGAATCTCACACATGTAGAGCTCATTTGTCTTGTACTTGTGCATGCATACACTTACACACACGCCGACATGAGAATGTTGGCCAGAACCCCTGGTTGCCATAGAAACTCATAATGGGAGTTTTGCTCTTGCGGCGCAGGAGTTTTAAAGGATTTCACTGAGCTCCGCATTAGCATAAAAGATTTTTGTAAAAGACCACCATCGGTGTTATCATTATCCCCACTGCTATTAGTATTCAATCTAATTAAAAGTATGGTGTTTGATGGATTCCACCATTCTTCCGTCTACCTTTCACACAACAGTTAGCCAGCAGCCAGAGCTTTCTTACCTTTTCACCTTTGCCTCCCTTAAGGCCGCGCACACCATCGGCTCCCTGTGATGCAAGAGCAGACAGATGTTTCAGGCTAACGCAGTGCACAGCAGACAAAGGACAGGGCAGTTACTGAATTATGTAGGAGAGTGTCCCAGTTTGACAGGAAGATGTGAACCATCAGTGTCGTTAATGGGAATTTACTGAATTTGATGAGGTTTAACTCCTGAGTTCATTAGTTGTAGATGAATGAATTATATGACTTAAAATGACTTTATTACAAAAGTAAAGAAACATAGAGATAACTTATTCCAGTAGTTCACAATTCTTTTCCCTGCAGCGCCCCCTAGTGATGGGGATGAAGACGCATTTCTCCTAGGCTCCTAATGCTCTGATTCCTCCAAATCATTAGTTGGATTGTTTAACCATTCCGTCCATTGCCTAATATAACATGACGGTAATTGATGCTGTTTTTTCACAGCATTTTAAACTGTTCAAATGTTAATGTATAGACTACAATAAAGAGTTAATGCAAAAAAAAAAAAATTGAAGTAAATATTTTTTCCTAACACAACAATTATTGATAAGAGAATTAATTTTCCTAGACCTGCTCCCTTTGCAATAGTCTAGTACCCTCTCAGGACGGCCCGCCCCCCACTTTGGGAACCACTTTAAAAACTGTGTGTTTAAGAGGATCAAGATGGTGCAAATCAATGAGTCCATCTGCAGTTCTTAGACAAAAACCCACATAAAGATTAGAATCTAAAACTCCTTTTCATCCATTGATGACCAGCGTACCTTCACTCCTCTGGGTCCAGGATAACCAATTGGTCCTTGAGGGCCAGAAGGTCCCTGTGGACAAGAGGATTAGTTGAGCTCTTGATATAGTCAATACCACAGCACCATTCTTACAGCTGCAATTAAATAAGAAGAGAAATCAATTCAACATACCATGTGTCCTTTCTCTCCAGGAGGTCCCTCTTTTCCTGGGTGACCCTGGGAATTATTCAGAGAAATGTTATCAAGATAAGGGTAATGGTACGATGATATTATCATCTTAGGATAATTACACCCAATAAATACTACAACACCCACGAAAAAATACAGATTCGGGCTGTTAAAAAACTGAAGGACACATAAAGCAGAAAATTGGAATCAAAACCTTTTATGGTTTAATCTCCACAGAGATTTTTATCTTTAACGCACATTATTCAGACACCGATGGTTATAACTGGCTCTAAAAGCCACAAATGCTGTGTTGAGATATGCACACACACACACACACACACACAGGCACACAAACACATCTAATACACATGCGGATGTCCACAATAGAGAGAGAGAGAAAAGGCCTGGAAGGAAATTGATTTCATCCTCGTGAGACAAAGGAGCTGGGCATAGGCTTTGATGGGTTTTCACTGATGTGAGAGTGGAAGGAGAATGAAATCGAGAGGACGAGGAGGGAGGGTGTGGGGAGAAGAAAAAAAATACTGCAGCTGATTGAAGGTGCATTCTCATCGCCTCTTTCCTGCCGTTTGCTAAATCCTGGTTTTTTTAAACAACGTCCTGATGTGTCAGTGTTTCAGTACATCTATTTTTTCACTGCCTATCTTGGGTTCCACCTTGAGCCTTCCAGGACAGAGCTGTCATTGATTTCAGGCCTCTGCAGTTTGTGCTCAATTTCAGCCTGTTGGTGATGGACTGTGTCTTAGTGATGCTTTAGTCTAACAGTTTCACTCTAACGATGAAGTCAATTTGTTTGTTTTGTTTTTTTTTTTATTGATCTTTCTTAATTTTACTCATAGGGTTTTACCAGGTTTAAAATTGATAAACGTTGATGAAAAGAACAGGGGGGTGAATGTGACTGAAAACTCACCGGTGGTCCGTCAGCTCCTGGCATTTCTGGCCGACCAGGCTTCCCTGTGGGTCCCTAGATTTAGGAGATGGTAAAATGTTAGAGCAAATAAAACATCCCGTAAAGACAAGGGAGTAAGTGAAGATAAAATGATTAAAAACACCTTTAGAAGAAATAAGAAGCTAACTAATGGAGTTACTAAATCTTATTACAGTTCAGCTGTAAAAAGTGTCGGTGAAAGAGATTTAAGAGAGAAAAAGAACATAAATGTTCAGATTAACTTTAGTAAAGGCTGAGCACGGAGGAGCTCTGGGCCTCTTGTTAAAACCAGGCACATATGAAATTAAATTTTGCTAATATAGTTCAATACATATAGTTGTTTAAAATCTAGTTTATCTGTTTTATTATGATTGAGGAATGATCCGGGTTCCTACACTTCTCATGCTCAAATTCAAGCAGCACCCTTATGGACCTCGAATGATACATTTAATAAAGCTGATTTTAAGACGTAACAAATGAGTTGCAAACAGGTTTGAAAAGTCCTGAAATTTAAAGGAAACAGTTATTATTTTTTCCTGTCGAAGTACAAAGAATAAAAATCCCACCTTCTCTCCTGGTGGTCCAATGGCTCCCTGTGGCCCTGGAAGTCCCTGCAGGGTAAAACAAACAAACAAACAAAAAAAACCTCCTTAGTTCGTCTTATGTATTGGATGACACACTGATCACATGTCAGACAACCTGTGGGTCACTAACCTGTGCACCTGGGTTGCCCTGCTGTCCTGGTGGTCCTGGCTCTCCTTGAGGTCCCTGCACAGACACGGAGCTAATTTTAGAAGTCTCACAGAGAACTGGATCATAAAAGACTTAAAGAATGAGAAGAGTTACAGCCAGTCCACATGCACTGTAAAAATCCAATGCTGCCAGAGACAGATACAAATTGCAGCTGTCCAGCAGCAGCATCACTGGATTATTAGCGTCTTACAGCTAAATAGGCCGTAGGATTTAAATTAATTGCTCAATATCTGACTCTGACTGGAGGTAGACCGCACACACATATACATGTCACCTAGGCTCACACCTGCTCCATAATGAAAGAAAGTGCCTGAGTACAAAACGCCAAACAGTTTCCCTCCGAGAACAACAGAGAGCAGAACAGAAAAGCTTTTGCAGCCATGGATTTGTCTCATTACGGCCAAACGCTGCTGGAAAATGACCCGAAAAACACAACTGGCAGGACTGTGGGCTGCTTAAATTGGTCTAAATCATACCGGTCCATTCTTCATTATCTGTTAAGTATCATCTGATTGTAAAGCTGCCTGGGCTTCTAAGTTCAAGAGCAGAGAAATAAAGAGGGGACTCAAGAGGTGGCGTGAAGGAGGCCGGGCTGAAACAAGTGCAGTGTTTCTCTAACTTTTTAATGTCGTCAAATTGAAGATATTTCCAGCAGTTCAACAGCAGATTCAGGCAATTCAGACTTCCTAAGCAATATCCACCAACCTCACCTTAATTTCTCACTTTTGTTCAATATGTCATCTATACATTACACTTTAGTGTTATGTCCTTTCCTGATTTTATTTGCATTATAATGCACCATTATTACTTTCATGTATAAATGTACTTGGCAATAAACACTAATGTCCAATAGGCAGAGAGAAGAGAAACACGCATGGACCCCAACGGTCCATATCATGGACCACACAGCAACATTTTTCAACTGGAATGTTGCTCGATTTGTCTTGAGGCACAAAGTCCTGAACTGGTCTGAAAAGTCTAACGACAAGTCAAATTACAACATGTGACTGAGAAGCGGCTCTAAGTTTGACGTGTAAATTTGATTGGCTGGTAGCGTCACATGGTGCTCTGCGCCGCTTCTAAGTTTCTAGTTTGTACTAACTCACAATGCAAGGAGAAATTATTTCCAGTACGACAGGGTTCATTTTTCCAGAACCCTCACATCTACATAAAAGTAGCATTTAACAACTGTGTGACTCACTAATCCCTAGTGCTGAACAAATTCCCCTGCGTACCACTAGAGGGACCCAAGGTACCATAAATTGAATGGGCACCGTAGTTTGAATACCACCATACTAATAAAAAAAAAAAATTACTTCCATTCGATTTACATTCGTACACTAAAAAAAAATACTTCCATTCGATTTACATTCGTACACAAATTAAATCAATTAAAAGCTGTACTTACAATATTTCCTTTAGGTCCAGACGGGCCATCAGCTCCAGAAACGCCCTGTAACAGAACAGATGATCGCAACGTTCAGCACAACACAAATCCACTTCCTGTAGCAGCATTTAAATGGTTTATTTGATTTTATTGATGCACACGGTTCAGTTTGAATTAAAACTGGTTTACGATCTACATAACAAGCCAGTTTAATCTTCACTCTTTGTACTGGAGTGCTACCCAGTAACACATGCTCCTCCTTGTGTACTGTATGCGGCCTGATATACATATATTGGGTTATGGCTCTCCCTGTAGACACTGTTTGCAGCGTCTTGTTGCTCTGGCTGCCTGTGAGGTGATAAAAATGGATTCTGCTCTCTGAACAGTAAATCTGTGGGAGCAGTGTGGATGTGAGGAGGTGTAGGGGAGGTGGCACTCACAGGGGGGCCGGAAGCTCCCTGAGGTCCCTTTGGTCCTAGCAATCCACGGGGCCCCTGGGGTGGAAAAAGAAAGAAAGAAATGACACTCAGAATGATATCAAAGCTGTCAAAGGATGAATTATTAAACATGCTCAGCTAAATCAAGTTTCTGAATCACACTGTGGGAAACAACATGATTTCCCAGATGACCTTGAGGGTATTTTGCAGACTCATATTTTCAGGAAAAAACTAAAAGCCTCCTTTTTTTTTTTCCTCCCTCACATTCTGCGCAGCTATCAAACAATGCTTTGAAAATCTGTGCTCAGTCTCTCAGCTACAGTTACCTAACAAGTATTTTTTCCACTAGCGTGGATTCAAACCCACGTAGCACACCCTGGTGGACAGAGTGACACACAGCAGGATCTATGAAGGTCTCTTTAACGCTCTCTCCCTGTCGGTCTTCCCACTCTTCCATGGGGAGAGAGGGAGAGAGTGGGAAGTGATTTTAACAAGCTTGATGTGAGCTACAAGAAAGTCTAACCTGCGCTGATTCTTTCGCACAAAAAAAAGAGCTAGATCGGAACAACATCTACTTCAAAACAATACAGCAATCAAGAAAAATCAATTTCTATGAACACAGCAGATTCCACCGTCTGCGAGTGATTTATGCTTCTATCACACAGCGTGACTTCTCTTCAATGCACCCACATTCTCAGCTCTAACATACAATCTCTCAGAGCAAGACAGAGGGGTAATGCATGTGATCACTCACTGGTTCACCAGGAAGTCCCCTGGGTCCGATCTCTCCATCATCTCCCTGAAGAAGACAGAGGGAGAGGGTCAGGATGTGGAACAGACAGTTAACGACAACCGAGGAGAGTGGTGTGTGACTGGGAGCAAAATATAATGAGGAGGCTCAGCCAAAAAGCTGAGAAAGAGGGGATCAGGTAGCTTCAGGTGTTGGTAATGAGGACGGAGTGGGGGATTAGGAGAAGATAAAAGTGAGCTCAGATGAAAACATATAGGGAGAAAGGAGAGAGGAGAAAGAAAGAAGGAAAGGAAGTCAAATTCAGACAAATGGTTGGGTGAGAGAGAGAGAAGCTCTGCTCTGCAGGCATTTTGATCATCCTGCAGCAGCATGACAGTGAGTACGTTTATCCAGTGATTCCCAAACACTGTGCCGCGGCACATTAGTGTGCCATGACAGGTATGTGCCACGTCATTATTTACAGTTCATTTAATTTGCCTGAAAATGATTATTAATTTACTGCAAATAATTTGTCTTCGTTTATCTATGCAATAGTGCTAGGTAGAACAATTATATACTCCTCCACTAGGTGGCAGCAGATGACAATTAAAGATGCATAGCTGTGGGATTCATAGCTGTTTAATTGTGTGCTGTTCTTCAATTCCTGTGAGTATTTCAGGGTTTTGTTCAACTAAACGGACCTGGGTTTGACTAGTATAATAGTCAATTACATATACCAGACATTTTGGTTTGGTGGTGCACCATGGGAATTTTCAAATGTAAAATATGTGCCGTGGGTCAAAAAAAGTTGGGATACACATTCTGCTCCATTTTTCAGTCGGTGTATTTGAATGCAGATAAATAAATAACTGAAGACCAGAGTTTGTTTTTACCCTCTCTCCATCCTCTCCAGGGGAACCGGGGGGTCCATGGGGTCCTGGCTCACCCTAGAACAAAGTTCACAGTTTAGATTCAACTCTGATACCAACCAAAACAAACACATCTTTTACCAAACCAGAAGAAACGTCTTACTCTGTGTCCCTTTTCACCAGGAAGTCCAGCCAGACCATCGAACCCTCTGTCTCCCTGAGGAGCAGGTGGAGAAAGGACATTAGAATTAGTACTTTAAACTAGTGTACTGTAAAATGTGTATGAAGGAATTGTTTAAAAACAGTAGTTAAAGTACCTTGGGACCTGTTTGTCCTGGCATGCCCCTGGCACCGTCAGATCCAGACCGACCCTATTTAAAATAAAATGCAGACAGTTAGAAAACAACGTACCAGGGGACAGTGTTTAATGCATGTTTCCTGAAGAGTACATCACTGCTGAACATCAGCCGTGTCAGAAATCATGTTAATTTTGTTTTCACTGTTGACAATTTTTACCCTTCTGCCAGGCTTTCCCATTGGTCCAGGAGATCCCATTGGCCCACGAGGTCCCTGACAAAAACACACAACATTTGTCAATTCTTCTGCAAGAAAGTCCTGTAGGAAAAATACTGATCAAATAAAAATGAAATGTTATAGATGGTTAAAGGTTACAAAGATATCTTTGTATCTTATGTAAAGATGAAAAAAAGAGTTTTGGTTTATTAGTCATGTACAACCTTCCAGTGCTGCTAAACTGTGCTACCTAAACTAAGCTAAAACGTGCACCAATATAAAACACGTGTTCAAAAATTGACAATATACAGGTCAGTAAGTAAGTTAAAACTATTTAATTTGATGTGACATTAAATTTCCAGCTTGCTTGCTAACAGCAAAAATTTGATGTGACATTCAATTTCCAGCTTGCTTGCTAACAGCAATCCACCTAATATTACTGTTCATCCTTATGGAAAGGTCAGCTGTGGAATTTTAAGGTTAAGTGAGTCATGAATATAGTCAATGTGTTGTTTTTTTGTGGTACAACAGTTAGAACAATAATCAGTTCACAGCTTTGTTATTGACATAAATATGTATTATAACTTACTAGGTACTTTTAATGCTATACTCAACATATACGTTGTATGTATATATTGTATATTGTATTGTATATTGTATGTATACCGCCATTGTTTAAAAGTTTGAAATGTGTTTGGGACTCTTGTTGAATTTGAAATGAAGAAAATGCTTCCTTTGGTGTTGAAGGTTACAGACTCCTGGTCTATGGTGTAGCTTTAAAATACCACTTTGTAGAACTACATCTGGACCGGCCGTTCTCTCCATTAAGTGCTGTCCACTCTCTTTTCCTGTTTAAAAACAATAAATATCAACAGCTTTTACCTGGGGTCCTGAATCGCCAGACTCTCCTTTCAGTCCTGGAACACCAGGTGGACCCTGGGTAAAAAACAAACAAACAAAAAAACAGAAGCTTTTTAGGATTAAAATTGTCATTGTGTTTAATCCGTTTTCATCCTGAGATGTGGAAACACACTCACCAGTGGACCTGTTCTGCCGGTCAGACCCATTGGACCTGTAGGGCCACGCATTGCCAACTGACGGGGAAAAAGACAGGAAATAAGGAACGTATGTTGTATATTAAATATATTTATTGTTTTATGATTTAAATCATTTAAAACCATCTCCTAGTGGTTTGTGTCTGCAATATCTGTCCTATACAATTTAAATGAGATATTTTTAATAAGCAGAGTAGGTTGTGCACAATTTTTCATTTCTTTGATTTCATACAAAGACGTTCAAGTATGCATTGCTTAAGTCCTAGAACAAATACCCCCACAGTAATGATACATTTTGTAGATTGGGGAGCACATGCAGCACAGAGCTCACCAGCATAAAATATTCACATTAAATGTTTTAACAATTCTGATCACTGTTAAAAAGTACAAGGATGACTTTGTATTACTATTGTGTGTGTGTGAATTTTTTAAATGTCTTGTTGTCAGTGGTTACCCGAGCCTGCTGCATGATTGCTTGCATTTGAGCCTCCTGTGCTGAAACAGCAGGTCCCTTCTGTCCACCGTCGCCTCCAGAACTGAATCTGAACTGTGGAGGGAATCACAGATCTGGTGTGAGACTTCCTTCTAGTTAGAACTTAAAAGTCATTTAATCATGTTCTAAATCAGACACCACTGTACAAACACTGGTGTATCTTGATACAAAATAAATATTTAAAGTGTATGTGCAAAGCCGATCAAAATCTCCCTGACGCCAAACTCGGTCAACCGCAATCTGCTGCTTCAGCTGTGAATTCTACTGACATCTGGTGGTAAAAGTGGAGCACTGCGACCCGAGAAATATTCCCGCTGCTGGTAAAACGTTTAAGGCAAGGCATTTTGGATTGTGCTTCACAGCAAAATCCTCAGGTGGTTGACGGATGACTGGTTTACAAATGTAGTGCAAGAAGCCAGAAAATAACTGCACTTAACGTTGCCATCACAAATTTGTCTAGAAACTGAGTAAACAGCTGATAAAAACATAAGGGTGTAGTCACATAAAACCAATCAAAATCCAAAACATATTAATCAGAATTTTCCACATCAATAAATATAACCCAATCATACATTTAGAATTTTTTAAACATATCTCAGATTCAGTCATTCTCTTTTACTTTATTTCTCCCTTTTACATCATTAAATCGTGAACATAATGTTCCGCAACACTGAGAAGCTGGCAGGAGCAGCAGATAATTACAAAAACAAAAACCCAAGTGGGAACTGCTTTTTAAGTAGAACAAGCTTCTACGTCTAAGAGAGGCTGCATCACTAATTTGTGAGAAAGTAGGCCGTTTAAAAAAAAAAGAAGTAATCTTTTAGCAAGCAAGTTTTCTGGTGCAACAACACTGCATGTTTCTAATGGGCTTGGAGCCCGAGGATCGAATTTTAAACCACGCCGTGTGCCAGTGGACACACCAGAACAAGTCGAGTTCCTGTCCAGACACAACTTGCCAAATGGCTCAGCCAGACAACAGTGCTCTCCCCTGAAATCACCACTTACATCTGTACAACTAATCAAATGAAATAATAAAACAATCAAGTGCACACAACCCCGTCATCACCCGTCCTCCCAGACTAGAGAAAAGGACAAACACAAAAAGGTTAACTAGTGGAGGAGTAGTCCTCAAAATGGCTGCCTCAAGTTGGGATATTAAAAGCAGCTGAAGCTACAGAGAACAGACTGCGTTACTTTGTTTCCTGTCTAAGCCTTCAACGACTTCCTGCTGGGACACCTGATAGTTCAAAATTCGACAAAGGAATGTGGAAAAAGGCTGGTAGTATAGGAAAGTTTTGTCACGTCAAGGCCTACACTGAAAACAAGAGTTAACGCGTTTATTAAACACACCACAAGGGGTTGCTAGAGTACTTATTTACATAAGAAATAAGTCACAAGAGTCGGACGTCCATCTAAACACTTCTGTCCATTCTACGTAAAACTACAATGCCGGAGCTTCGACAACAGCGGGAAGTGTCACTTCCATAAAGATTTAAAGGATTTCTAAATGGAGTGAAATTTGACAATTAACTCGTTTTAAAACAGAGTTTCTTTACTGTCTTTTAACCCCTGTTCTTACATTTGTAAATTACTTACAGGCAGCATCAGGACAGTACCAGGGGGTCCTGGCAGACCATCAGCACCGGGAAGACCCGAACGACCAGGAGGACCCTGGGACAGAAATAACCATGATTAGCACACACACACACACAGACACACACAGAGAGAGAGAGAGATGTGTTGATGTTGAAATGCAGTCGTGTTCTGTATTAGTTTCTTGAATTAATTTGGAATAAATCAATGGAAAATTACCCTTTCTCCAGGATCTCCAGGACTGCCTGGTGGGCCAGAAGCACCTGGGGGTCCGGGCAGACCCTATTGTAAGCAGGAAAAAAAATTTTCATATGACTTCCATACATATGAGAGAAAAGTCCTTTTTTTCTGAAGGATTTCTCCTTTATCTTCTAAAGTGGTCACATGTGGGAGAAAGGAATGCATGAGGCAATATGGGACAGCTTGTTAGGCTGTAAATCACTGCTGAGGCTCTTTCTTTTTTTTTCTTTCTTCTATTTGTTTACAACTTAAGGCTTGAATGGGTGGCCTCTGTGGGATTCCATCGGCAGGGTGTCAGGAGCAACTGTGTCTAAAAAAAAAAAAAAAAAAAAAAAATCTTCCTTGATAAATAATGAAGTGGGCCAACATCTGGGAAAGTCAGTTTCTCTCCTCTTCACTGGCCACTCCCTTTGAATCAGATACCAAAGCATTGAGCTTCAAAAGTCTTGTCTGCAGCTCTAACTGCCAGCAAACGGATGACTGTCCTTACTGTTTGTGTGCAGACAGAGATAAGAATAGAAAATGTTGTTGATTATAAAATAAAAAATAAAATTGAAAGCAGGGAGACGGATTGACTTACTGTTGGACCCTCAGGCCCAGGCGGACCCTCCACCAACATTCCCTAAGAACAAACGAAAACAGAAATTGTCAGAAAACTCTAAACTTCTCTTGTAGCAATAATCAAGTCAATCTGAGCAAATGCAGTGACATCATCTTTGTCAGTTCATTTTTAGTGAAAACCTCAGGATGGATTTACGCCTACGAGGCATATAAAGGGCTGTGAGTGATGTAAGATCAAGGTTTGGATTAGGTTTGGATTTTTTTGTGGCCTTTTAACTACATTTTGGATCACTGGAGGTGATCTGGAATTCTTTCAACTATTGTGGGAAACCCCTTAGTTTACCCTTTATTTTTTTAGTTATTACCTGTTGACCAGTGGTATCCATTTGTTATGATTTTGATTTGTTTTATTTTTGTTACTAAATTTGGTATTCTTTATTTTTGTTCTAAGTTTTCTTTACTTTTTTACGTTACCGCTGTCCGCTGTTGTTGCTGCAATATGAGTAGTTTCAAAAAATTTCAATCTAATATAATCTAATGTAATCTAATGCTATAAACAGCAGTTTTTTTGCTTATTTCTACTGTTGTGAGCTGCAGCAGACACATTTTCTTAGCCAGGGTTGGGGAGGATTAAGTAGAAATCTTGGTGGCTTTGATTAAATTAAATAACCAGTTACATAAAACCAATCATTTTACCTTGAATACAGTATATTCATGTAATAAAGTGGACTTCTATGAGACCTAATTACACTCCAGAACGGCAGAATAAGCGGTTTTGCTTTAGGTTATAATGGGATTCACAAATCTTGGGTAAAAGTCTGAATGGAGCCCGGCTGCAGATGTATGTTTCTGTGTCTAATATTAAAGTAATAACAGCCTCTAATTTAAAGTAGTCTCACAGATTTTGCTGACTTAATGAACAATCCTGCCTGAGATTGTGGGAAAACGAAAATGCTGCGATGTCCTGACGTGCCCTCTGACTTACTCGCACTACTGTATGTAATTATCTCATCATCAGATATTTTTGATGGTGGAATAAAGTTAAAAACCAGCATGCGTGTCTTAAAGCATGTCTTTTAACGTTACTGTTTGCAGTGTTTTTTTTTTATAAAAATTTTCTTTTTGTTTTGCCATGAAAAGACGGTGGCCTCAGTTTGGACGTACAGACACATAGTTGCAGCTCTGTGGCTGCAGAGATATTGCTTTGTTTGTTTGTTCCCGTGGTGAATCCTGGCTTCTTGCTTTGCGGACAGACCCACACACATTATCCAAGCCTCGGTTGAAGTATGTGATCTCGGGCTTTTTCATTTTTGTTTCCCAGTTGAGCTCTAAAGCTGTGCCCTCAAGTGTTTTCATCCTAAAATTGCACCCAGCTGATGCGTGACGCCCCCTGCTGCATGCCTACTTTTTAACTGATGGGCCCAACTTTGCTTATGAAAAATAAAGGCGACACTTTTGTATGTTTACATGAGACGAGCTACACGTCAGCTGGGTGGTGATTTGTACGCACACACACACATCTATGGACAACAAGAAAATTCACTTCCTGCTCACACACACATAAACACTGCGACACTCACTCACAGTCATGTATACTCTGAGGAACTCACTGACAGATGTTTGAAGTGGAGCAGCTGTTGTATAGGATATTTTAAATTTATCAAAGGTCAGAGGTCATTCTCACTAGCTCACCTGTGCGTGTGACAATTACACTTACAGTCTGATATTTTCCACACGGTCGGATTGAGACGAGCTCTACTCAAAATCATACTTTGTTTTGCTGGCATCTCCCACATGTTTGTACATTAACCACGGTCTGTTTACAGATTATTTACAGTCCCTGCATGGCCATTCCTGACATGTTTATGCTGAAGTCCTGATGACCAGGCCTTCCTCATTGATACTTTGGGAAAGTTTGGGAACTCAAGTGTGTGCAGTTCCTTGGGAATCTCAGTGAGTAAGTGAGGCTTGGACTGTGTTAACATGAGGACAACACATATGTATTTGCAGATATAAACACACGCCCATGTGTGCATGAGCACATGCAGCCTGCATCTGTTGTTAAAGTCATTTGTTGAAATGAGTGGCCACTCACAGGCTCAATAACAGCAGGCTCTCCCTTCTGTCCCTTCTCACCACGGGCTCCGTCGACCTACACGCCAAACACACAAACAGGACCATGATCAGCTCTGTCCTCTTTAGAACCATCATCATCATCAGACAATTCTTACTGTTGGTAGTCTGTTTTTTTAAATTTTGTTACCTGTCCATAATATTCATCAGTCTGGGCAGGCAGAGGGTTGAGGGTTTTGCGGTCTAAATCTCCATATTCGTAACCATAGTTATCGTCATCATAGTCTATGATGTCCTCCTCGGTGAACTCTTGATCGATGTCGCCCTCAGCTCCCAGGCCTGTGCCTGTGCCTGTGCCAGCAGATCCTCCGGTTCCAGCGCTGGCTGATCCACCTCCAGCAGAGGAAGATCCTCCCACAGAGACAGAACCTCCACCGGCAGACCCACCGCCGATGGAGATGGTGGAGGTGCTGCTGCTGCCACCGCCGCCGCCACTGACGTGACCTGTGCCGCTGCTGCTGCCACCGCCGCCACCAAAGGGAAATGAACTGTGCCGCTGCTGCTGCCACCGCTGCCGCCGCCACTAACGTGAACTGTGCTGCTGCTGCTACTGCCGCCGCCGCCAAGGTGAATTGTGCTGCTGCTGCTGCCACCACCACCTCCACCATCAATGTGGACTGTGCTGCTGCTGCCACCACCACCACCTCCACCACCCGTGGTGTAAGATCCGTCACTGTAATCATAACCATCGTTGTAGTCATCGTAGGGGGTTCCCACCTATAAAAACACAGGTGCAGATACGAGGATGTAGCCGGTTAGCAATCAGTACAGAATGAAAAAAAACCCAATAAAAACTCCTAGACCAAGTCAAAATAATAGTGTTTTAAAACTATTTTTGACCACATTTTCACATTTTAATAATTGTAAAATATATGGAATACATATTATTCCATATATTTTATGTGTACTGCACATGTTAAAGTACACTAAAACAGCAGTTAAAACACATCAGTAAATGTGCCAATACTTTAAAATATTCATTAAAGGAATTCAAATTTTAAGCATTTATTATAATTATTACTGGCTAAAAACAATTTATTTCAACTTACAGATGTTCTGTTAAGGGTGATGGTTGAACCTCCTAATCCTGTGGTGACTTTCTTTTCAATCACAGTCCCGGTGCCGAGGTCAACCCTTCCTCCAGTACCTAGATCCAGATTTCCCCCAGTACCCACGTTGGTGATGGTGACACGTCGAGTGTTGTCGCTCTCAGGCGCCTCTGTGTTGTCTTCATATTCATTTTCATAGGTGCCGTAGCTGTCGTAGCCGTCGTAGCCTTCGTAAGGACTGGTCTCCTCGCCGTAAGCGTCTCCTCCACCCGTGGAGCTGGATGAAGAGCTGCTAGATGAGCTGCTAGATGAGCTAGAGGATGAGCCTGATGATGAGCCTGATGATGAGCCTGAAGATGAGCTAGTGGAGACGGGGGTCAGAACCTTCTCCACTGTGGTCTGAAAGACAGATAATTATTTAAGGGTAGGGTCTTTTTAGAACATTTGCATAAAAATCATGCTGTGAATAAATGAGTTCTCGAGACAAAAATGTCTGTGAAGTACCTTGGATCCATCGTAATCTGTTATATTATAGTTGGTTGACTCGTAAAGCTTTCCATCCCCATCGTCGTAATAGGGGTATTCATAATAGTAGGGGTCCTCACCCGTGTTCTGGGGGGAGACACATCACACGGAGAATGAGACAGTGTATACGAGAAAAGAAAATCACAATCAATTTCTAAAACCACCGTTTCTAAGAATGCTGTGCTGCTGCCAACACCCATGAGCGCCAGGCCGCCCATCGATCAGTTGCACGCACTTTAACTCGCTAAAACCCTGTGTTGCGTCTCCTTGTTCCAACATGTTATGTCTGGATGACAAATTGCTTTTCCACCGATTTAAACAGAAATTAATCCGTCAGCGTTCTTCAGGAAAAAAGAGGTCAGGTTTTCTTCGTAGCTGACAGGTACACTGACACGCCCCACAGGTCAAGAAGAAGTGCTTCCTGTCCATCTTCTCACTTGTCACTTCTGTGACACACCTTCAATTTGCATGCATTGCTCTTCAATGTGGAAAGTAGCACAGTGCAAGGTTGCAGGCTTAGGCAGGCATCACATCATTCCTGGATGTTACTGCCAAAATAACCATCTTTCCTCTTTATTCAGCACAGAAATTAAAATCTGATCAGTGTTAGAGGCAATTCTAAATTCAGCATATTTAACCTTACTGATATCCTGCACAAACCCTGCTAATAGGAAAGTTGCCACTGGAGGCGCCATTAAGTACGTGGTTCCAAGGGGCTCCAACCCAGGACCTTCTTCGTGTAAGGCAGATGTATAAGGCCGGCATGGTAACGGACCTACTATTTTTGTAGTTTGGAAACTAAGGCTGATTTTTGAATATAATTGTTCGTTCTAATTAAATAGCAACCTAGGTGTCAAAGGTTATGCACATTAAGCAGTAGTTTACTGTCCATCTCTGAATCATTTCTCAATAGTATTAACAGTCTTCAGTAGAATCTTTGAGAGATATTTTCATCAAAAAGTTTTTCTGAGTTTACACCAGATATTAATAATACAAACAGGTGAGGTTATTTACCTGTTATGAAGGACTACTTTTTAAAAATGTTTACGTGTGTATGTAAATGGAAAAAAGTTTCCAAAAATACGGTTTGTGTAATAAATAAGTCCCCTGCAAAGATCATTTGTTAAGTAAAATAATTCTGTTTGAAAGTGAACACATGCAAGTTCACATGTCACTCTGTTTGACTGAACATAAATATATTTACAAAATACAAATATTCAATACCATCATATTGTAGTGGACTGAATATTGGACACTTGTATCCAAATAATTACTATCATTCTCTACCTTTACCAGTGAGTCCAAAAGGGGTGTACAGTATGATGTAATCTTAAGTTGTGTTCAAGGTGCCCTCTGCTGGATCAACCCTTAACTACTTCAGAGGCTCCAGGGAACTGGGCCTGATTTTTAAGTCATTCCTATCGAGTTTATATATTTGTTTTCTAATTTTAAAAGAAAGCCGAGAGTTTGTTATTAAAGCCAAAGGAGAGTGTAAAAAAGGTGATGTCACTCACATCATCATCAGTGTTGGGGTCCTGGTTCTGAGGCTGGTCAGGCATCGCCACTTCACAATCAGGGCTGTAGTGCTCGCAGTAGTCATAGGCAGCACGGTGGTCTGCTACAATCATTAGCTGCTGGATGTCTCCCTGGAAACCACAGAGAAACAGGAAGTCATGAAACCCACTGGACATGTAAATAAACAGGGAAACAGACGTCAGTGACAGACATGGCAGCTCTCACATTCAGTGACCGTTTGGAGGGAGGAGTAAAAAAAACAAAAAACATCAGTTTGAATCTTTATTACATCCAGAACAGCACTGAAACTCGGTCAAGCCTGGGGAAAAGCTGAGGATGACTTAAAGATGAAGACGTTTGCCTGCGGTCCAGCAAAGTCCCTACAGGACCAGAGAGTGAGACACAGAGCAAACAGTGTAGATAACAAGAACAAGAACATGGAGCAACTGCCATCATGTAGCTTACACCAAGAACATCACAACCACAGGCCCCTCTCTCTCTCACACACACACACACACTCACACACACAAACACAGCTTAAACAGAACACACGACTAAGACCCGACCGTGATATGATTTATTCCAGCCTTAAGCTGATTGATGAATAGATAAACTTAGCTTGTGCGACATGGAGAACATGAGCAGACCTGCAGTTAAAGATAGTTGACCTAAACCACTCGTGTGAGCACGTGTGTGTGTGTGTGTGTGTGTGTGAACTCAGTGTAGGTGCCAGTGCAGTAAACAGTAGCAGAGGTGAGTTGTGTTAAGAAGGAGAAAGAGAGGAAGAAAAAAAAATTAGAAAAGAAAAAAGGAAAAAAAAGGAAGAAAGAAAGAAAGAAAGAGAAAAAGGGAAGAAAGAATGAGGAAAGACGGGGTTAATGGAACAACAGAGAGAGAAAAGGCTCAGAAGGATCCCCGGGCTTCACAGGGAGCTGGGTGTGAGTGCTCGCCACATGGCTCTGACAGAACATGTACAGGAGTAAAAAACGCTGTGTCGTGTCTGTGCAAACATTTCACCTCACACTCGCAAATCCAGTGATGTCATCCCACATCAATCAAACGCAGGGTCAACTTGGCTGAGGCAAGAATGTAATTTTTTTTCACTGGTGAGTGGAGGTGGGGGGAGGTGAGAGGTGCAGATGGAGAGGAGAGCTGAAGAATCACAAAGCCACGCAGCTTTAGCAGCAGAGCAAGCAGTGTTTTTGATTATATCCCTCTGCCAGAAGTCTAAAAGCTCTCAACATGTCCTTCCAGCTGAAATCCTCCATGGATAGCTCTCTTTCTTTTTTTTTTCTTCTTCTTCTTTTTTTTGATGAAAACAAGTCACAAACATTTGAGGTTCCGACCAGCGTGACTTCACCAAAGATCACCAGAACCGATGCTACGCTCCAATACCACACACAACTCAGTATTTGGCATCCTCTCATTTGGGGCTGCAAAGCACTTCACAAGATGATGTTTCCTGCTCTGTCCTTGGCTCCTGTTATCAGTGGAGTTTATGGTGGATGAAGAAAAACAAATCCCAATGTTTCCTGTGAGACAGCAGGGCTGGAGTAGCCATTACACAACACAGATATGAATTCAGCTCCCAACTAGAACTCAAACGGCCCAGCCATTTTCCTAAGGCCACAGCCATGGTAGCATTACTGTATCAGAGGAACTGGCTGCCCCCCCCCCCCCCCCCC